AGCTAGAATACGATCTTGTGAGCTTATATTCACTAATTCCTACCTCATTTAACTAGTTTGGGATCGATCGGCTCCGAATTGAGGGTTTGGGCTCGTTCCTGGTATTGGAAGCTCACTTTGGAGCGAGGTGAGTCTCCTTTCTAACCTTGTAAGAGGGAATTGTACCCATAGGTGTAATAATTGAACAATTGCTACTAGACGCGCGAGGGAGGGGGACGGCTACGTATGCACTAGGTGACGAGAGTCCGTGCGTAGTTACTATTAGGTTTGTGAATGTCTCTATATTTTCTTGCTAATGTGATCACTTAGGGTATGCTAGAGACTTGAAAAGGAATATAAGCGAATGTATACACTTGTTGGACACTTGTATGAATTTGTTTGAAAATAAATGAGCCTTCATGTGTTTTCTTGATATTAATTGATATTTGCGGATCGGGCCGATCGCCTTGGTAGAAATAGATGCATCTATGGTTCGCATCATTCGACCCTCTGACAGTGCATAGTTTATTTTCTGTTGGATCGGGTCGTCGACCTCGTCATAATGTGCGCATGATATCTATGTGAAATCTTATCCATGACTTGTTCTGCTAAATATTTGAAATGTAAATGGCTAACTGTAAAAAATGGTTAAGAACATGACTTATTACCTCTTGCTACAACCTGTGGATTAATTGTGACTCCCATGCTTAGCGTAACACTTTATTATGTTATTTGACCTTAGTAAGTATCAAGTCGACCTCTCGTATGTACTTCTTCGAGATTAGACGGGATACTTACGAGTTACATATTATTTATGTACTCATACTACACTTTTGCTCTTAATTGTACAGGATCTGAGGTAGGTACATCTGGCTACCGGTCTGGTGCACGCCCCTGATTCATAGTCCGAGACTTCCACGATGAGCTGCCCCTTCCTGTTCCGTTCAGCAACTTGATGGAGTCTTTCTTTACTTTTGTTGTCTATTCTGTTTCGGACAGTAGGACAGTTTTATTCTTTTGTACATTCTGCTAGTTGCCCACTACTTATGATACCAGGTCTTGGCACACACATTAGTAGACTTTTATTTTGGGGTTCTATGATTATTTTTGGCACATTACTATTCATTTATGGTTTTAACTTTAACTTAAGGAATTACTGCACTTATTTTGGTGAAAGTAAAATGAGAACTTAATTATATTTCCGTGTTGGCTTGCCTGACAATGGAGTTGGGAGCCATCACGATCTATTGGGGAAATGGGTCGTGACATTGTTGAACAATGTAACTAATGAAATCTTGGAGAAAGAAGGCGAGTAAGAATATTAAGAAAGACAAAACAAATATGTAGGGTAGGGGTGTACATAGGTTGGGTTGGTTCGGATTTTGTAATTACCAACCAAACCAATTGTGTCGGGTTATTAAATCTAAAGTCTAAACCACATCAATAAAACTCGGATTTTTCAATCTTTATTTTTCTCGTGTTTTTGGGTTATTCAGATTTTTCGAGTTTTTTGGGTAAAATCTTCGTAGCACAAAACATATAACTTGTGCTTAAAATATTTCTTTAATCCTAGTAAGATACAACTATATAAGGTATTTTTCAAGAAAATAATACAAAATATGAGATGTGTCATGTCATTAGCCTAAAATATTCAACAATAAAAATAATAAAATTATGTAATATAACTATTGCTAATTAAAAAGCCATAATAAAAATAAACATAATCTAAAAGTACTAATTATGCTGAAATAAATAGACTAATAAGGGAGTATTAATTACATGACTAAACTCTAAAGAAAAAATAAAAATAGATTATGCATTTTAATCTAAATTATTACAAAACAAAAAATAGATATTAAATACATTGTCGGTCGCAGTATTGAATTGAATGTCTTTTGTTAGCAGTAGTATTGATTTGATTTTGTTTTGGGCTTTTGTTAGCATTGTTTAAGTTACTAATATTAATGGCTATAAAACTTATTGGAACATTCAAAAGTTCTAAGTCCGACCTTGAAATAATGCCATAAAAGATAATATTATGAAAAAGTTTAAGAAATATTTATAAATTACATCACAATAAGTATATTTATATATTAAATATATCTAAAATTTCTATACATGTAATGGCAGGTTGGTTTGGTTTCGGTTTGACTTTCTTTAGTTAAAACCAAACCAAACCAATTATGGTCGGGTTTTTTTTCCAACACCAAACCAAATCAAATCAAATCATAGTCGGGTTTTTTTCTCGGTTTGACTCAGATTATCGGGTTGGTGCGGTTTGTCGGTTTCCTTTGTGCACCCCTAATGTAAGGGTTTTTAAAACATGAAGAGATTGGGGGAAAAGAAAGATTGACTTGGACATGTTAAGAATGAGAGAGTAATTTTTTATACATTATCTAATGAAGGAGTAAAACTGTAATGTTGAGAAAACTATCCATCTACCAATTTTTAAATATGGTAAATTATTACTTTATTTACATATTTAAATGGCTCTATTTTCTTTTATATTTAAAACTCTATTTTTGTATTAAAAATATTAAATATTATTTTTTAAATACGTATAAACCTATTATTTTTAAAAATGGGCCTCCCCAAATTTGGAGGCCTAAGGGTAAAAATTGCACGGGGCACCCTATTTGGTCGACCCCATTTAACCTATACCTATTTTTTGTAAAATTTTTTTAACTTTTACCCACTCTTTAAACAACTTCAGCCCCTTTTCTCCTCCTCCTTCTCCTCCTTCATCTCCTTCTTCTCCTTCTTCTTCTTCTTCTTCTTCTTCTTCTTCTTCTTCTTCTTCTTCTTCTTTTTCTTCTTTCTTCTGCTATTGTTGGTGCTGCTATGAAACTTCAGTTCATGGGATGATTGCCATAAATATGTTTATCAGATTATTTAAAAATAAATTATAAATAATTACGTAAATTAGTAGACAATAATTTGTGAATATTTCCACGTACGTAAGTTAGTAGACAATGATAATTCTGTTTTTTTCACGTTTATTGTTTCCAAAATTTATGATTTAGTTACTATTGGCAATCTGATTATTTATCTAGTATGTTAGAAAGCTTTTTCAAAAACTTCAGCTTATATAGTGCTGAAGTTTTTAAGAAAGAACTAAATAACTTCAGCATCTTCTGCTGAAGTTTTTGAAAAAGCTTTATGGCAAAACTAATGAATCCAGGACAAAAAAACTTCAGCTTCTAGTGCTGAAGTTTTTACAAATGAACTAAATAACTTTAGCATCTTCTGCTGAAGTTTTTGAAAAAACTTATCCATGACAAAAAAACTTCAGCTTATTTAGTGCTGAAGTTTTTATAAATGAACTAAATAACTTCAGCATCTTCTGCTGAAGTTTTTGAAAAAGCTACTAACGAATCCATGACAAAAAACTTTAGCTTATTTAGTGCAATTACAAACAAAAACTTCAGCAAATAGAGAACAAAACTTCAGCTGCTATGCTTAAGTTCAGCAATTACAAACAAAAACTTCAGTAAATAGAGAATAAAACTTCAGCTACTATGCTTAAGTTCAATAATTATAAACAAAAACTTCAGCATACTTGGTTCAACACACTTACTACTTCAGGCCCGTCTACTAGAATGCTGAAGTTTTGCGTGATTGCCTTTGCTACTCCAGCCCTACGCGAAAAAGTGGGTACGCTTGCAATTTTTTTTGCAAAGAGAACACAAGTTAAAACGTGACCCAAAAAGCAGGTATAGATGCAAATGCCCCTGCCTAAGGCACAAGCTTTACCCCTCATCACGTTGGAGCCGACCCTGCTATTTGAGTCCGAGTTTAGTATATGAATGACACTTCGTAATTGATACTCCCTCCGTTGCAATTTATATGAACCCATTTGACTGGGCACGGAGTTTAAGAATAGAGAGAAGACTTCTGAACTTGTGGTGTAAAATGAAGCATATATATTTTATGTGGCTATAAATCATTGCATAAAGGTAAATTGTTTCCAAATAGGGAAAGAGATCATTCTTTTTGGCACGGACTAAAAAGGATATAGGTTCACATAAATTGAAACGGAGGGAGTATTACAGTACAAACCATGCCTCGAATTCTTAAAATGCTCCTTTAGTCCCGAGCTACCGAAGATGCCTAGAATAAATTCACGAGCCTAATAGAGAGTACTTCAAATAATGTCAACATATAGCATTTTCCCTGAAGAGTTTCTTACTGTGAATATGGTGTACGGTTCGTTTACAACTCTAAATGGAATCTTCCAAGCTGGTGATTGAAAGAAATGGAATAATTGCATGACGAGGTATCATATAACATGTCAAGAAAGATTTCATTTTCCAATTGATTAAAAGTAAGTGACATTTTTTTTTCTTGTAACATCTGTTAGAGTGCATTAACCTCTTTAACTCTGATGTTCTTGCTTACAAAAGTATGCTAAAATAGAGAGTTTTTGGGAAGTTCAGAGTTCTATGTGACACATTATAAGGCTGAGATGCCTGAATCTTTGAACTATGCATGATAATAATTGCTCCTTTCACGCGCGCGCACACGCACATATATTATATAATGTATGTAGTTCTGAAGCGGAACCTTGGCCTAACTGGAAGTTGATACCGTGCGACCAGGAGGTGACGGGTTCGAACCGTAGAAATAGCTTCTTGCAGAAATACAGGATAAGACCGCATACAATAAACTCTTGTGGTCCGACCCTTCCCCCGACCTTGCACGTAGCGGGAGTTTAGTACACTGGTTGCCCTTTAGTATATATATAGTTCTCCAAGTCATTGGTTTAAAGAAAATATTCTTTAAGCTGCAGTCTTCAATAAAAGTACATATTCTCTTTTCTATTCGTTTGACATCTTGCAATCTTTTATGTATTGTCAAACCTCAAAGTGCATCTACTACATGTATTTCACTTGCATTTTAATTATCATATCATGCTTTTTGTATAGACTCCCCATGTAGCAATAGCAAAGCTGCATTTTTGTTATTTTCATGGGCAGGGGGAAGGATCATGACGACGGGATATTGGATTTGGAAAAGATATATGAACAAAAAAACCAGAAAGACATTTTCTTATTCAAATCAATATTCCAAACAATAATGCTTTAATCAGCCTATTTGGTTTACAATCAGAAGTGACTAGTGAGCAAGAACCGGAGATGATTACATAGCTAGTTCTATCCATTAGAAAGTTATAACTGAGACCACCAGACCGATCTCATCTACTTGAAAATTCGTGCAACGATATATGAATGAATTTTATTCTACACAGAGACTATCATTCCTTAGTCTTTCCACAAATTTTTCCTCAAGGCCATTCCATAGCTTTGGTTTTCTTAGTATAAGATAGCTCTGTGTTTCTCAATTTTCTTCTTTAGTCCATCTTTATCTGCTCCCACAACCTTGTCAACAAACTTCCCCTTCCTTATCAGCACAAATGTTGGCATTGCTTGAACTCCATATTCTTGAGCTACATCCTGTTTTCAGTCATCCAAGATATATTTGACCAATTAGTATCTATTTTAAAGATAAAAGAAGTGGCCACATAAAGGGATTTAAGTTATGAACTGACAGTATAAGATTTCTATTCTATGTGTAACTTAACCTGTGATAGTAGACTAGCTTTTGTTCTTACTATTTTAGTACTTAATGCTTATGATAGAGATTTACCTATAATTACGCTATGTATGTCTTGATTGTATAAATATTTTTTATCCGTCAATGTATAGAATTTAAACTCGAAAAACAAAAGAGGATTGCAAGATAAAGATATAAACTCATACAGCTAATTCATCAACATCAATCTTGACAAACTCAACATCTGTATATTTAGCAGCAAAGTCATTGATAACTGGTTCCATGGTTTTGCAAGGACCACACCATGTTGCTGTGAAGTCAATTACAACCTAATAGCAACAATCCCAATTATTAGTACCATGTAATTTACAGTATCCGATTAGACAAATAACAGAAAGTTGTTGAAAAAAATGGTTACCAGTTTGTTTGTATCTTTCAAAGAATTAAAATGGAGCTTCCATTTTGTTGAAGAGTGGAAAGCAATGACTTGAGAGCTCTTGACTTGTGCTCTGGTTGAAATATTATTAGCTTCATGTAAAGTAGATGAGTAGTTAGCACCCATTTTTTCTTTTAGTTTTTTTGAAGTAAGGATTTTTCTTCTTCAACTTCTGGTTTTTGAAAGATTTTCTTTGGCTTGATGTTGGAATTTAGAGTTTTGCAGGGACCCTTTTTATAATGGTTGCTCATGATGTACAAAATTCTCTTTTCAAAGGTAAAAACAACTTAAACTAGTAGAGAATATGTTCCTTCATTATGTCGACCGTTCCATTATATATAGCAAGATTTGATGCTATAACGTTTGTTTCTTGTTGGTGCTTTGCGCCAATATTTCTAGTGTAGGGTCATTATCACTTTATAACAAGAATTAACCTAAATAAACATCCATCCCGCTGTTTAAATTAAAAATAGTCTGCAGATGTATAATTCATGTACATAATTAATATATAATCTATGTATACCGGCTAGAAAAAGTAAATAATAAACCTGACCAGCTCTATACTCTAACAATATAAAATAATTTTTACACGATCAGGATGAATTAAAAGATAACTAGAGAAGATTGCTCATAATGAGTAAATTAGTAACGTAGAAAATAAGGCAGGCAGCCGGAGGTTAACAGTGTAAAAAATATTTACATTGTTAGTGCATCTTGTTCTCATACCCTGCACATATTTTCACCCTAGAAATTATTTATTGCTTAGGCTGTTATTGACTTCACAGCAACAAGCCTACAACAATTGACTTTATTAGCAGCTTCATCTGTTAATTTTATGCCCCAAGCTATATATTTCAAAATATAATAAGAAACCAGTACTAGAAGAGAATATTGTTTCTCTCAGTAATAGCAGTAGGATTTCAGAACATTGCTGTTGTTGATTGAAAGAATGTTCCCTTCAAGTATTGGTTCCTATTATTTTGAAATTAGTATTAGTACCCGCGTGATGCACGGATAATTAAAAAGAACGATGTACACTGTAAAATTTAATATGTCAGTGTTAATACCATCTTTACAACCAAATATTAAAAACATATTAGGACTTCAGTAAAACTTTCATTCCATCTCCTAATAATTGTTCCATAAAAAATAATGATACTATACAATTTGCTTGATATGAATGTTCCACGAAAAATAATGATGCTATATAATTTACTTGATATGAAGCATGTGCCTAATGGAACATTATTGTAGCAAATGCTCATGGACATATTGCAGTGCATTTTCCAGAAGCTGCCCTCTGTATTGAGGTTTATCACTACAAAAAGGCATGGGTAAAAATTCAAGAATTTCTGGTCCTTGTTTGACGGAAATGAGAGACAACATATATTGTATTACTGATGATATAATAAAGAAGATGTCACGACTCGGATTTTCCACCCTCGGGAGTTGTGATGACGCCTACTAATGTGAGTTAGGCAAGCCAATCCTTAACTGCTTACTTCATTAACAGTTACTTCTTTTAACAATTATCAGTGATAACATGAAGCAACAGAATTAAATAATTATGCGGAAGACTTAAATTAAAGAAGACGAAACAATAATGCGAGAATCAACATATGCCTCTAGCCAAGAACTGGTGTCACATTACTCACGAACTTCTAAGAGTACTAAATACAATCGTTTGAAAGAACATATAAACTGTTTGTCTCGAATACATAAGATAACAGACTGAAATAAAAGATAGAGCAGACGTCGGGCCTGCGGACGCTTGCAAGGCTACCTCGGTGTCTCACTGGACTGAAGGCTGGCTCCCGCGCTACTACTGCTGTCCAAGACCTTGATCTGTGCAAAAAGCACAGAGTGTAGCATCAGCAAAACCGACCCCAAGTGCTGGTAATGTCTAGCCTAGCCTCGGCGAGGTAGTGACGAGGCTAGAACTAGACTCCAGATAGACCTGTGCAGTTATACAATATATGGCGGAAAAGTAAACAAGTAATAAGCAGTTAAAGCTGGGGAACGGAAACATGCTTCGGGGATAGCAGTTAAAAGAAAATAACAGGGAATAATAAGGAACCTAGCAATATAACTTCTATCACAAATGAAGAAAATAAAGGCAACTTTCACTTTCAGTTTCATCTTGTTGCAGGCGTGCAACCCGATCCCATTTCTCATATCTCGTGGTAGGCGTACCACCCGCTCCCATTTCATTATTTCTCGTGGTAGGCGTACCACCCGCTCCCATTTCANATAGAACAATTCTTTGCGCAATATAGAAGATCATTAATTAAAGCATCTGAAATGTCATTTAAGGACACAACCACTTTCAATTTAAGACTCACGGTCATGCTCGACACCAACGTATAGATACTCATCACCATGCCTATACATCGTACTCAACAAGAAGCAAGTAGGAAATATGACTCCACTCTTAATCCCTCAAGCTAAGGTGAGACCAAACACTTAACTCGATGCCTTGAACACCACTCAAGTCTCAATTATAGCTTTACCTCTTGATTCCACCACTAATCCGCTCGAATCTAGTCATAAGTTACTTAGTCACATCAATAAATACTAAATGAGTCAACCCCAATGCATGAAAATAAGTTTTACAAGGTTTTACCCAAAAAGGTCAAAAATGCCCCCGGGCACACGTGGTCGAAACTCGAGGTTCGAACCAAAACCCGGTTACTCATTCCCCCACAAATCCAAATATATGGTTTGTTTTGAAATCAGACCTCAAATTGAGGTCCAAATCCCCAATTTTAGAAAACCTAAGTTCTACCCAAAACACCCAATTTCCCCGTGAAAATCTTTGATTTGAAGTTGAAATTATGTTAAAAGATGTTAAGAAGTGAAGAAAATGAGTTGGAAATCACTTACCAATCGTTTTGGAGAAGAAAAGTTGTTTAGAAAATCGCCTCTTACGTTTTGGGGTTTTGAAAAGTATAAAAATAACTGAAATTCACGTGAATTTATACCCCTCTAAAACTCCCTGTGCGGACTGCACAAAAAGGACCGCAGCCGCACAGGCCTCCTTGAAGACCTGCAGATCATAGCCCCATGCGTACCGCACAAAGCTGACCGCGACCGCACAGCATCCACCGCGGACCGCTCAAAGGCGACCGCGACCGCGCTGGCCTCTCCGCGGTCACATGCGATTTCTCGCGGACCGCGCAAGAGGGTTCAGAGACCTGCAATATTTCCTGAACCTGCAATATCTGATCTTTTTAAGCCTAAGGCATCCGGGAACCTACTCGAAACTCACCCGAGCCCTCGAAACTCTAACCCAAGTATACACACAACCTCAAAACATTCTACGAACATATTCGTGTAATCAAATCGCCAAAATAACATCATGAACATCGAATTAAACCTCAAGATCAATGAAATTTTCAAAAACTCCATCAAGTTCAAATTTAGGAATTCAAGTCCGAAACACGTCAAACGACGTCTGATTTTAACCAAACTTTACAGAAACTTCTTAAATCACATATAAGACCTGTATCGGGCGCTGGAACCAAAATACGGGCCCGATACCAATACATTGTAATCAATTTTTATTTCAATTTTCCTTAACAATTTCAGAATACAATTTTACTCAAAAATTCATTTCTCGGGCTTGGGACCTCGAAATTCGATTTCGGGCACACGCACAAGTCCCATAGTTTCCTACGGACCCTCCGGGACCGTCAAATCACGGGTCCGGGTCCGTTCGCCCAAAATGTTGACCAAAGTCAAACTTATTCATTTTAACACCAAAATTTAGCATTTTACACAGAATTTTATGTTTAAGCTTTCCGGCTACGCGTTCGGACTGCGCACATAAATCGAGGAAACTACAAATAAGATTTTCAAGGCCTTGGAAGCACGAAATGGATAAGAAAATAGGTGATGACCCTTTGGGTCGTCACATTCGCCACCTCTAAAGCAACCGTTCGTCCTCGAACAGACAGAAGAAAGAAGTCCCTGAGTCGGGGAAAAGTTGAGGATAACGGTCCCGCATATCGGACTCGGACTCCCAGGTCGATGACTCAGGAGGCTGACCTCTCCACTGAACACGAATAGAAGGAAAAATCTTAGATCTCAACTGACGAACCTTCCGGTCTAGAATAGCTACTAGCTTCTCCTCATAGGATAAGTCCTTGTCCAACTAGACAGTGCTGAAATCTCACACGTGGGATGGATCGCCGTGATATCTCCGAAGCACGGACACATGAAAAACTGGATGCACGGCTGATAAGCTCGGCGGCAATGCAAGTCTATAGGCCACCTCTCCCACTCGATCAAGAATCTCAAATGGACTAATGAACATAGGGCTAAGCTTGCCCTTCTTCCCAAATCTCATCACGCCCTTCATAGGCGACACTCAGAGCAACACTCGCTCACCAACCATAAAAGCCACGTCTCGAACCTTACGATATGCATAGCTCTTTTGCCTAGACTGAGCTGTACGGAGCCTGTCCTGAATAATCCTGACCTTGCCCAAGGCCTCCTGAACTAGATCTGTACCGAACAACCGAGCCTCTCCCGGCTCAAACCATCCAACCGGAGATCGACACCGCCTACAATATAAGCCTCATAGGGAGCCATCTGGATGCTCGACTGGTAAGTGTTGTTGTAGGCAAACTCTACTAAAGGTAAGAACTGATCCCACGATCCACCGAAGTCAATGACACAAGCTCGGAGCATATCCTCCAAAATCTGAATAGTTCGCTCAGACTGCCCGTCCGTCTGAGGATGAAATGTTGTACTCAACTCAATCTGAGTGCCTAATTCTCGCTGAACTGCTCTCCAGAAGCGCGAGGTAAACTGCGTACCTCGGTCCGAAATGATAGATACCGGCATACCATGAAGGCGAACAATCTCCCGGATATAGATCTCAGCTAACCTCTCGAACGAATAAGAGACTGCCACAGGAATGAAATGCACTGACTTGGTTAGCCTATCAACAATAACTCATATTGCGTCGAACTTCCTCCGAGCCCGCGGGAGTCCAACTACGAAGTCCATAGTGATCTGATCCCACTTCCACTCGGGAAGCTCAATCCTCTGAAACAAACCACCAGGTCTCTGATGCTCATACTTAACCTGTTGACAATTTAAACACCGAGCCACATATGCAACAATATCCTTCTTCATTCTACGCCACAAATAATGCTGTCGCAAATCTTGATACATCTTCGCGGCGCCCGAATGAATAGAGTATCGGGAGCTATGGGTCTCCTCTAAAATCAATTCCGGAGCCCATCCACATTAGGCA